TACTATATTAAAAGCCATTTAATTATTTTTTTTATTTTCGAAATCGGGCCATAAATAAAAAATTACGGAAAATTTAAAAAAAGACAGCGTGTGAACATAAAGCAAACGTTTTTTACTTAAACTATTTATCTAAAAAAAATGGTAACTCGTTATAAAACCTTTTTTTTTCAAAGACTATGATCTAAGGATTACCACTATCCATACTCGTATTCATATTAATGTGCATCAAAGTAGTCGTTGAAAGGGATCATTTTAAGGTGGCAACCATGCGAAATTTCAAACAATCTTAACCTCAATCTTCCCTAAAAATTATTTTTTCAAATAAATATGTACCGCATGTACCAAAAAAATTATTAAAATTTTCATTACTTATGTGATTAAATTTGTTCTGAATGACTCTTTGTGTAAATCGGCCTTTAAATTAAAGATTTATTTAGACTTCTATAACCTACTTGATGAAAAAGGGTATACATTTTTTTCAATTTTTCTCCAAAAAAATTCATATAAGTTGCAATACAAATGCAAAATTTAAAAACAAACAAAGTTTTCACTCTAATTTCACAAAGGAAAGTGGCCAATTAGCTGTCAGGGAGGTAAAATTTTTATTCCCTCATCTGTCAAAATTACATTCAGGGACATAAAAATTTTACCTCCCCTACAGTCACCCTTTTTATAGCACTGAAAATGTCTTAAATTCTCTACCAATTTTCTTTTATTCAAAAATAAAAAATAAACAACCTGACTGTCTAGGGAAAAGCCCACCAGTCCAGTTGGCAAACTTGATGCGCGAAATTCAAATTTTACGTTCACAGTTCAATACTTTTTGTACATTCCCTGTATAAGAAAACCCAATTTTGGTATTTTCTTCATTGACTCAATTTTCTCCATGAAGAGAATATTTGATCATAATTTACGCATTACAAAACCGAAATGTGATCATGTTAAAAAACAGTTAATTTATTCCGATTCGATCATCCTGTTTATATTCCGCTCCTTGTCTCTCCTGTAGCAATAAGCATGCGTGGCAGCTTGCTGTCCTTGTCTTTTGCTGGGCGTTTGTTGGTTCAAGTTGGTTGGTCGCGTCGTCGCTTCATTCTTTCAGATTTTCAGACATCATCATCACCCAGTCATCAAATGCAAGACAAAATAGTGTTAAGTTGTTATTAATGTGTTGTTTATTGTTTACGTATTAAGTGCAACCTTCGAGGCGTAATTTTTTCTTTATTTAGTTTAATTATCGGTAAACAATGATATCTCTTCGGTACACCAGAAACCTTTTTTTGAGATCATTCTGTATAGTCTACCTCTTTGCATTTATTTCTTTCTACGTCCAAATTCCTGGTGAGTAATTATTTTGCGATTTTCATATTTCGTTTGTTTTTTGGTTAGAATAAGTCACTGAAACTTGAGATTATTTTTTCCTTGATTTGATGCTTTTTTCAGGATTGTACGGCGATAATGGAATATTACCTGCAAAATCGTTGTTAGAAAATAGTAAACACAAGACTTTATCAGCTAAAGTACATTACCAACCCACATTACTGTGGCTTGCCCCCTACTTGGGCTTGGATGTTAATTATGCTTTGGATGTGTTGGCACTACTTGGGAGCTTTTTGGCCTTTACAGGGTAAACAAACAACTTTGTTATGTTTTATAACGGGTGTTGATTTAAATTTGGCGTCATAGTTGGCGGCGAGGTGTCAAATGTCAATTGAACTTTCATGGATAACTGTGACGCCAAATAAAAAAAAACTCTTATAGTCTGTTTACATGTTGTCAAAATTTTGCCTTTTTGTGTGCAATACCTCAGGACAAACATCACTACCTAATCTCTAAAGATAGAATTCAGTGCTAATAATATTGATAGAAACATAGTATTTAAGATTTAAAAATTATTTTTTCAAATATATGTGTATCCCATGTATCAAAAAATTATTAAAATTAACAACGTAATCAACATAGGATAGCAAACATAAAGATTTTTGTCATTATTGATGTGATTAAATTTGTTTTGAATGACATTAAGGACACTTTTTGTGTAAATCGGACTTTAAATTAAAGATTCATTTAGACTTCTTCAACCTACTTGATGCACATTAATATGAAAAAGAGTATATGTCAGTTCAATGTAAATGTTCGATGTAAACCATGCCTTAGTGTCATTATGTTTGACGTTTGTTTATTTTTGGCGTCGATTTTACGAAACAATGCCAGAAATACGTGTTTTTATATAAGTTCAATAAATTATTTTGATTTGTTGTCATTTTTTCTCTAGCTATCAGGATAAAAATGACAAGTGAGGTGTCCGGAATTGCGATATAAAAATTTTTTTTTGCAAAACTCAAAAACTAAAAAAAATTTCGAAAAATCTTATTGTTCAAAAAACAGTACTAATTATTTTTTCGTAAAGTAATTAGTTTATGCAAAAAATGCTTGATTTCATACTTTTTATTCGGTTACGTTGCATTGGAATACTATTACTACTACTAAACCTATTTTTAGTTATATTGTCAACAAATTAATCAAGTTTATAGTTTATACTAACATATTTTTTTATTTTTAGGTTTATTTCACAAAAGTTTTGTACAATTCCGCTCTTTGCTGGGTTGTGGTCTTTGTATTTCTCTCTTTATCAAGTTGGTCAAGTTTTTGTGAGCAATAATTAGTAAGTATTAAAATTTTATATTTCACAAAGGAAAGTTGCCAATTACCTCCTAGGGAGGTAAAAATTTTATTCCATCATCTGTCAAAACTACATTATGTAACCTCTCAGGGAGGTAGAAATTTTAAAAATTTAATGGCGTAATTGGGATATCATGAAAAATTGTTATTTTTTAGGTTTGTTTGCTGGGTCGTAGGAAAAATTATAGCCAAAGTGCAAAATTTAAACCCCCATAATTTCGAAATTTTTATACAGGGTGATTTAAAAAAAACGGCAGGCGGTGTAGAATTGAATTTTTATTTATGGTTTTATTTCAAAAATTAAAAAAATAAATTAAATGCCTTTTAATGTAGTATGAGCCTGCAATTTTAGAATTTTTCTAAATGTCATAGTTTATTTTAGGCTATATTCAACTTTCTAAAGTTGAATTTTAACCCATATTTTTTTCTACTTAATTTCGAAGGTATAAAGGTTCTACTTTAACTAAAAATTATTGTTTAAAAAAATTATTAAATTTGAAAAAACTTAATAAATGTTTATAAACTTGGTGTCAAATAAATCAATCAATTCCATTATTGTAATGTCAAAAAGCAGCAAATGAAAGAAAATACAGTGTGTTTCAGAACTCGCGCTTCAAAGAAAAACTTCAAGTAAGATATGATGCCAGGAAAAAAAATTTGACAATTATTTTTTGAAACTTGACATTTTCTTGTCTTATTTCATTTAATGTGACTAATGATCTTGTATATGTTTTCCTCTTTTGTTTATGTTTCCTCTTTTAATAACCTGTAGTAAAAATTTTATTTTTTTCAACTTTGCTAATTTTTTAAAGAATATTTTTTTCTAAAAAATTGAACATATTGTACATGTCTGTACCAAGAAAACTAATACTTTTCAAATTATGAAGAAAGAAATATGGGTTTTAATTTAAAAGTAGAAAGTTGAATATAGCTCAAAATATACAATGACATTTAGAAAAATTCTAAAATTGTCACTTTACGCTAAATTAAAAGCCATGTAAATTATTTTTGTAATTTTTGAAATCGGGCCATAAATAAAAATTTTACAGCGCCTGCCGTTTTTTAAAAATCACCCTGTAGATAGAATTTTATACTTATCTTGCTTGGTATTTTTTATCTTTTATTTTTTCATCAAGAGGGTTACTTAATACGGGAAAATTATTTTTTTAGTGACGAATTTCTACTAGAGTCCGGTTTCCTTGTCCTCCTCGTGGCCCCTTTACTCCCCGGCCGGAGAAAAGGCTCGAAAGTTTTACCAAGCGATTCCATCAGTTTTTGGCTAGTGCGTTGGCTACTTTTTAGATTCTTGTTAACATGTGGGTTGTTAAAATTCATCAGTGGTTGTCCTAAATGGTGGACTTTATCTGGTTTGTTTCACTGATGTTTAATTATTTTGTTTAATAATTCAATCCAAATTCATAGCATTTAATTACTATTTTGAAAGTTTACCATTACCAACGCCACTCTCTTGGTACTTCCATCAAATTCCTGCATGGTACTTGAAACTGTTCGGCGTCATTGCTAATGTTTGTGAGATTGGGATTCCGTTTTTGTTCTTCGTGCCTATTCGGGCGGTACGCATCACCAGTTTCATCATCCAAGTAAGTAATTGTACAGATTTTTGGAATTTAATCGTAATTGTTTGGAATTATTTGGAATTTTATGGAATTATTAAAATTATTATTGGATTGTCTGGAATCACTATAATTACTTGTAAATTAATGAAATTTTTCTTGAATTATTTCGTTTGAAAATTGCACTTCTTAAAACTACCAAAAATAATACGAAGTTATAGGAATTATTTTAGAATTACGAAAATTAAGTTGGAATTACAGGAATTAATTTGAAATTGTAGGAATTAATCTGAAAATTTAATATTAATAGAATTACCGAAATTGAATTTCCTTGAAATTTTTTTTCTGAATTGGAATTTCGAATTTCAGGAATTAAGTTAGAATTATAGGAATTGAACTAATTTGAAAACAATGGATTAATAGAATTACTGGAATTGAATTACCGGAATTTCTTGTAAATTACAAAATTACGTTGAATATACTAGAATTATCATAATTAATTTGGAATTACGTTAATTATTTTGGAATTAATTTAGAATAAAATTACGATGAATCCATTATTAATCAATATCAATAGAGTTACTGAAAAAATTTGGTAGAATTTTTTTTTTTAATTACTTATCGGAATTATTTATAAATTACTGATTTTTTTTTTGAAATGACTAAATAAATTTTCGAATTACTGGAATTATTTAGTTGTAATTACAGAAATTAATTTAAAATTATATGCAATATTCTAAAAACAATGGAATTACGACGAAATAATAGAGTTACTGGAGTTGAATTACTAGACTTTTTTGTAAATTACTAACATTTTTCTAGAATTACTGG